GCTGACCTAAGTACCTGCTCGTTATGGCTGGGTGCTGTGGTTCACCCAGTGCTTTTGGTGGGCACTGATATAAAGTGATGTGTTCTACTTTAATAAACTTTATCTGGAGACTATTTTACAAGGATGGTTCTTACGCCTATTATACCTTAGACATGCCTCCGGGAGGCGCAGGGAGCCAGTGAGATCAGTCTGCCTACCTGCTTACCTCATTTGTACTCCTCACTCCTTTATTTCTAAAGCAGCTGATACACTGCTTTAGAAATAAATCAAAGCAAAAGTAACAGACTAGGGCCTCGGAGTGTGGCTCAGCAGTGAAGTGATTGGCTTGCAAACCTTAGGACCTGGGTTTGATTCACAGCAGTCCAAAAAAAGGGGTGAGGGACTTTGAACTGACTTGTGTTGTTTCTGGCTTGAATAACTGACTAGGTATAGGTAGCAGATGAAGTTGGAAATACCTCAGTCCTGAGAAAAACATCTTGCCTGAGACAATTCCAGTCATTCGTCACTAGGCAACCCTGTCTCACAATACTAACTTTGTCAAAATATAAATAAATGGCCCTACTGTTGTTCAGTTCCTCTTCTCTCATCAGGAGAAAGCGTTCCACTTGACCTCAACTTTTGTCTTTTGTCATATTTTCTTCATCTCCTTGCCGTTTTTCCCTGGCACCACTGAGAGAGAGAGAGTTGCTCAGGTGGTAGCAACTAGGTAGTTGGTGTTTCTACCATTTGAGACCAGAAACACAGAAGACTAAGTTTTGTTGTTGATTTTGTCATTGTAGTATTACTGTATTGTCTTTGCAGTTATTGTAGCTGTAAGGAAGGTAAAGAAAATCAGTTATGAACACTCTGACATTGAGGTCTCTCTGAATTTCCAAAGGGAAACAGGATGAAGATAATCCATGACAGGCTAAAGATAAAAATGTGAGAAAGTATGGGCATGATGAGATCACCTGGGGGAGAGTACAAGTAGAATAGGTCCAGAAAATAAACCTGAGAAGAACACATATTTAATAGTTAAAAATACTAAGTAGGCTGCAAAGACGGATGATGTACCAGAATAGATAAGAGGAATACGGAGTCTGAATATCAGGAGTATTTTAAGGAGTGTGTGATCAACAGTGTGAAATGTTCCTGAGAGTCATGCAAGATGAAAAGTGAAAAGTGTACACTGGGCTTAGTATCCAGAGTTATTTTTTTTTTTTTTTTTTTTTTTTGGTTTTTCTCCGGTACCGGGAACCGAACTCACGACCTTGCGCTTGCCAGGCAGGCGCTTTTGCCACTGAGCTAAATCCCCAGCCCCTATCCAGAGTTATTGACGGCATTAGTCAGCTGTTTTGGTAGTCATGGTGGCTAACCATGAGTATAAATAGTTTAAGTGTGTCTGGGAGGGGAGCAAAAACCACCAAGTACAGAATCCTTGAGAAGTTTAACTTTGAAGGTGGGGGGGGGGAGAGAAACTGAGATGTAAAGCAACATTTTACAAAGTCAGAAAACAAGAGCAAAGTAGCAACAGCACTGTGTTAATTTTTACTCAATTAATTCCACAAGCATTTGTTGATTGAACGAAGGACCCAGGGCAAAAAAAAAACCAGAGAATTAAGAGCTGAGTGAGAGGGGAGAGAGACATAATTACTGCAAGGGAGGTGCGACAATAGATGGGTTAGATTTAGTTGCAGTGAAGACAGAAGTGGAGAGCATGTTTATGAGAAAGCTGCAGAAGTGATTTTTGAAGTGAGCTAAGCGAGTGAAGTGTTTGCTAAAATGACTAAAAGAAAGATATTCCAGGCAGAGAGCATAGTTTATTGGAAAACTACACGTAGGCTTTAAAGAGCATGGGTTCTTAGAATCATTGCCTACATTTTAAATCTTTCACCCCTCATTACCAACTTTGTGACTTTGGATGATCACCATTGCTTTGCAAAGCAACAATTAACTCATCTATAAAATGAAGGTGCAATCACCTACACTTTTAAAAAGAAGGTGCTAATTTTTTTTCCCATAGACTTTAGGAAAGCTTAAAAGCTATAAAGTTCTAGGGGCTGGGGATTTAGCTCAGCGGCAAAGCGCCTGCCTGGCAAGCGCAAGGTCGTGAGTTCGGTTCCCGGTACCGAAGAAAAACCAAAAGAAAAAAAAAAAAAAAAAAAAAAAAAAAAAAAAAAGCTATAAAGTTCTAAATTCAGTACCTGGCACAAAGCAAGCACTCAACACATGTAAACGCTTATTATTACAGAATTGAAAATGCAAAATGAAGGCTATGAAGTCAGGCTATAAAGCTAAAGAAGGTAATCAGGGGCCAAATCATGACAGATTTGTCAGCAAAGTCCATACTGTTCCCAGCATTCATTAAAATGAAATAGTGTGATTATTAGAAAACAGTTAAACTGGTTAGGGTTAGTTCCACTAAAAAAAAGACTTCAGGAAGCATCTTAATTATAATCTTCTGTTAATGAAGCCTAGGGTGACAGGTATGTACAAGTACCTTAGAGTCTACTAATTAGGAGGCTGAACCTGCTACCTCTAATTGTGCAATTTGTGAATATCTTTTACATTACCACATCCTGTAATACAATGCAATAAGATTATGGCTAAAGTTCAGTTTTCTAATATTTTCTCTCATCTTTATTTTATTATTATTATTTTTTGAGGCAGGGCCTTACCATGTAGTGCAGGCTGGACTGGAACTTACTATGTACTGCAGGCTGCACTAGAACTTGCTGTGATCCTCCTGCGTTAGCCTTCCAAGTATAGTACTGGGATTACATTGCACCACCACGCCTGGCTTCACGTTTCTGTATTTTTAAAGGTGAACTGCTAACATGGTAATACTTTGAATTCATTAAAAGAAGCTATTTCATGGGCTGAGATGCAGCTCAGTTTTAAAGTGCTTTCCTACCACATGTGAGGCCCTGGGTTCCATCCCTGGCACCAGGGTGGGGTGTGGGATAGCTATTTCAACCCTACCATTAAAATGACAAAGAAACACTGAGCCGAAAGTGCAGTAGACCTTCAGAATTTGGCCAACACATTTTAAGGGTAATCAGACTCTGGAGAAAGCTAGAGGTGTATCTAATGATATTTACATGGAGATTGCAGCTCTACCCTTCCGGCATACTTCGAAATGTATAATGGTTTCCTTGGTCCAAAAAGTCAGAGTTTTATCCTTCAGATTTTTATTTTGAGCAAGTCATTTCCTTTCCTCTTTGGAAGAGTTCAACTTCTTACTTACAAGAACAGTATTCTTTTTGTAGGCAGAATGTTTGCCTTGTAAAGATTATTTCTGGATCACTTCTGTTTAATCTACCCCATTGAGTTCATATTTCTGAAATTAAAAAATCATGCTGAAATCTTAAGAATGCTCCATTTCTGATGAATCCAGTGCGATAATCTTTCCACCAGCATTCTTAACACTGACTTTGGTATTTGCTATGCAGTACATAACAGGTTGTTTCAGTACTTGGTGTGCAGTGATTTTTGTCACAACCTCTGTGTGTACAAGTGCCCTCATCTTTTTCTGATGGTCTCGACTTACACATAATGTCTCACTTCTATATATTTGGGTCGATTCTTAACAATGTTATTGCTCTTTGGGTTCCTTTCTGGTAGTTGACTATGTTTTCCTATAGAAGGCCCTGAATTTCTACCAACACTATAGGTCGTCTGTTTGTAGATACTTTTTTTTTTTTTTATACCAGTACACACTTGCAGTATGTAATGATTGCAGTTATCGTCAGGAGTCGGTACTTGTATCTAATACATCTTCTTTTTTTTTTTTTTTCCCCTACCCTTCCCCTCCTTTCTTGCTCCTTTCAACTCTTGGTCCCCTCCCCATTTGCAGACGCACAAAGAGAGACAGACGGATCCATGGAACAGAACAGAGGAACTAGAAACAACCCAGGCAAATTCAACTCTTTGACCTTTGACAAAGTAGCCGAAAACATACACTGGAGGAAAGATAGCCTCTTTAATAAATGGTGCTGGGAACACTGGATATCCACATGTAGATTCTTAATACTTAACAGATACGATCTAAGGGAGCGGACCTAACTCCTTTCAGACCACTTCGACTTGGGATTTCCAAGTATCTTTTCTCCGGCTCTCCACCCACAGTAACACCTGTGACCCAGGACACAGTGCAAGCGCACACGGCTGAATCAAGCGCTTCAGGACAGAATTATTCACTATCCGCCATACCTCTGATATTTCCTATTCTTTTCATTGGGGAAAAAAAGCTAGCACACGCACCGGTATCTCTTCCACGTAGAAACCTGCTAGATTAGTTTAACGAACTATTAACAGGTGTTTAAGGGTAGACTCCTCCACCAGTCTCTACTGTAGCTACCTCTTTCACAGCCCTTTCAAAATGTGTCGCTTGCAGCTCTGAAGGCAGTTAAATCACTGAGCCGCAGCAGCGCTTCGCCGCTGCAGGGAGGCGCTTTTCCCTCCACCGTGCTGCTTCCCTCCCCTCGGTGGATGATGCAGTACTCCATCCACTTCCCTGCTCTCCCGCTTTTCCCGACGCCGGCCCCGCCCTCTTCGTCTCTCCCGGCGAATTTAGATTCTCCCCCGCCTAGCAGGCAGAGCGCCGAATGATCGATGCTTCCTCCACGTCCGAGGGCCGCCATCTTTTTGGGGGCGGGAGGAGAGCCACATGTAGGCGCAGCCGAAGCTCAACGGGATGCTGGTTGGGTTTCGTTTCTCTTTCCATCACTGTGGGGTCGGGGTAGCAGAATCCACCGGGACCCCTCCTCTGCCTGCCTTTCCGGAATGAGGCCTCAGCGCCCCCGAGGGCCGACCCCCTACTTCCTCCGACGGTGAGTACGCCCCCGTGCCGGCCCGTGCGCGCGCCCGCGCGCCCTCTGCTGTCAGTTACCCGCGCGCCCCCGGCCGCGCGCCGCTCTCC